ACTTCTGTCAAACAGGAAAGGCCATAGATGGAATTAGATTAGGCTGTTCAATGCTGAACTGGCTAAATTTTGATCCCTGGGCAGCACAGTGGCTAAATGGTTAGCTTGTCCACTCAGCAGCACCAATATCGTATGTTTGATTCCCACCAAGGCACTACCTGCCTGGAATTTTCATGTTCTCCCTGTGCTTGTGTGGTTTTACTCCACGTACTCTGGATTCCTCCCACACTCCAAAGACAGGTAGATAAATTGGCCCTAGTATGTGTATGTATGAATGTGAGTTAGGGGCCTTAGGTTGTAAGCTCCTGGAAGGCAAGGACTGATGTGAATGTGTAATAAAAATGTAAAGTGTTACATAAATTGATGGCGCTATATACTATAAGTACCTGAATAAATAAAATCTACGGGTAACTTAAATCTGTCAGTTTGTTAGATTAATAATGTGAGATTCAAATACTAAGATCCTAATGCCATATTTAAATTCAAGTCATGGTGCTGATGCTAAATTAGGCTGGTCAGGGTTTTGCTTTTCCAGTTTTTCTGCACCCATCCTGAATAGACAGAAAGTCTGCAGCATGAAACTGGAAGGTGCTCATTCTGTCAAAAAAGAAACAACAAAGACAATGCTAAATATATGATAGCACATGGAGAGTTCACAGAAGAGGCATACTGTCCTCAGGCATCTGCTAAACACACGGAGGACACGTAGCAAACAAATTAGCATCAAAATAGGTGCAGATTAGGAGAGGTCTACGTGACAGGTCTATACTTAACTGACTTCATGGGAATTTTTTTTTCCATGTATAAAATGGCAAATAAAATATTTATCTTTATCTTATTATCTTTATCTTAGTTAATAATAAAAATGAACGCACATTTAATCCCACCTATGGATTCGTAATGACAGCATCCACTGAGTATAAAGCGAGTCAAATCTAAAATTGAAGATATTTTGCAGTAAAACAAAAAGTTTGGTTCAAGTGTTTTCTTAGTTATTTCCCATCGCTAAACTCTTTTCTTTTTGTGTTCAGCCATTCTTTGGTTTCATTAGTGTCCTGGAAGAACAATTTGTCCCAGTAGTTCCATTAATGTCCCAAATGTATATGATCAGTCCAAGTAGTGCCATTAGTGTCCAAACACTGTACAATTGGTCCCAATATATTTATTACTATCCTAATAGTCTATATTTAACTGGTTTAGCCCCGCCCTATAGGAGGATTACTGCTACAGGGTGGACTCTCCGCGCAAAACCACGTGTATATATACGTGATTCGCACTCCCGCCGTGATCGCGGACCGGGGGGCGCATGCATAAGCACCTGCTGACCCAGTGGTGCCATGATTCGGTGCTCGACTAATCAATCAGCAAATGCAGGCGAGTGATGTTCGGCCTGGATCTGATGATTGATCCCTGCCCTATCACAGATATTCCTGTACCTGTGCTCTCTGGGCACATTCTGTCCCAGAGAGAGAAGAAAGCAGATACACATGAATAAAAACAGCATGCTTTTACAGTAAAAGCACAGCTAGGTCCCATTTAGCCCCCTGATTGCCCCCCAGTTAACCCTTTCATTGCCCTGTCACCAGTGTCATTAGTACAGTGTACAGATTTTTTTACTGATCACTGTATTCGTTTTACCAGTGATTTCAGATAGCATTAGTGTCAGTTAGCGTCCCTCCTAGATAGCATCAGATTGCTGGTCACTACACTAGTCATCACATTTAACCCCTTGATTGCCAGGAACATGTTCACATACTCATTAAACCTCAATTGCTAGTATAATGTCTGAACGGATCAATATCTTTGGTCAGATCAGCACTATACCAGCGTTCACATTAGTATAGCATCCCCAAAAATTAAGCATTAATCAGCCCCGACACCTGCCAGCACCTGTGTTTAGCCCCTACACTTAACCCCCACCTCCCCCTTCTCCCCCAGCAAGTGCAGTGTCAGTAGATCACTGTCATTTGATACATTGCACACAAAACCGCAGTGTTAGCAGAATCAGGCCTACAATTTTTTTGTAGCGGTTCAAGCAGTCCCTGACAGCCAGGCGCTCTTTTTCCCGTGAGTCGCACTAGGTATCTATAAAATTTGGTGGCCAGAATGTCCAACAAAAGGTACTCTAGTGAAGAGGCCTACAGGATTCGGAGCATGTCAGGTGAGAGCGAAGGGGAAGACTCTCTGACAGAATCCACCTCAGAATACGAACCTGTAGACAGCAGCGGCACACTGACAGGCTCAGACTACAGAGAAGAGGTCCCTGCTAAGGTCAGGCGTTCCTGACCCCGTTCCCAGGTTTCTGAAATGTTACAATCGCATGATGATTCTCATATACAGCAGAGTGCCAGTACTAGTGCCGCAGTACCTTTTGGTGAACTGGTGAGCACCAGCGGCCTAGTACATCCTGGACTTTCACATACCAGGACTGCAGTATCACTTGGTGACGTGGCAAGTCCCATACGTGCAGTACAAGCTGATGCGGTGGTGAGCACAAGTAGTGTCCCGCAACCACCAAGAATTGCCCACTCACTAATGAAGTCATGTGGGTAGCGTGACGTAACGCGTTGCTGCGCGGTAACGGACTTCCGGTGCGTGGCGACGTCATTTTCGATGTGGGCGCCATCTTGGTACACCAGGATACCCATGCAGTACATCCATTACATGAGGAAAGGCTGATTGTTCCTAGATCTATATGTGAGTGGGCAATTTTGGTGTTTTTTTCATTTATTTAAGCAATAAACTGGATTACACTATGGAGGATCTTCTTTGTTTTATTATTATGATCCGCTGATGGAGTAAGAGCGATATTGCGAGTACTTATATCTGGAGTGGACCCAGGAGGAGTAAGTGCTATTACTGATGAGACCCAGTGCGGTGATTTCCCCTGCGACGTAATAGTTCCTGTAAGGATCGTGGGTGATCCTAAAAGCGAGCTGGCCCTTGTGGTCACCATAAGGAGGTGAGGGGGCACTCTGGCCATTGTTGGATATTTACACCTTTGCTGTGAGCACGAGTTTCACTTCATCACGTGCATGATCTTCGTTTGTGGATCACGTGTATAAGTTCACATGTGATTTTTTGAATTGGACTGGTTTTATGTGGACTGGAATTTTTTAATGTTATGTATGTTCAATTATTTGTTATTATCATCATTTAAAGGTGACTTATCACTTTTGAGTTATAGTTTTATCCCCTTGTCAGGGGACACTATTTATTATATCTGATTTTAGGGAATGCACCTTATATTCACCATTTATATAATTTTTTTTTGTGATTTATCCCCCATTTGGGGATATGGGGTTGTATATATTTGTGGATTCACTTCACAGTATTTTGTGGTACGTTTCACTATAGAGAATATTTCACCATTGGATCCAGATAGGATCCTACCACTTGGTATTTATGTTTTGTGTGGTATGCACATATATTTATTTATTTGTTTATCATTATGTTTATGGTATAATATTTATCAGCGCTACACCATTTTTTGTTTATTTGTTTTTTCACCTGTTTTTTTCATTTGGTTTAGGTTTTGGTGTGAGCAGCTTAGCTATAGGGATCATCCATTTAAGCGCAGGAGGATTTATATTTATTTGATTAAGATTTTGGCTACTGAATAGAAAGTGGCGAGGGAGCAGGGGCGGACCGACCATTTGGAAACTTGGGCACTGCCCGAGGGCCCGGGGTCAGTAGGGGGCCCCATGAGATGCCCCTGGTACCTTTTTCATAGGCTTTTTGAGTTTGGGCAAGGACACAGGGGCCCCATGATCCCCTATTGCCCGGGGGCCCCAGGAGTTGTCAGTCCGCCCCTGCCTGGTACCTTTTTCATAGGCTTTTTTGAGTTTGGGCAAGGACACAGGGGCCCCATGATCCCCTATTGCCCGGGGGCCCCATGAGTTGTCAGTCCGCCCCTGCGAGGGAGTGAATCTTACCTGCGTCCTGTTCTTCTGGCAAGTTTGAAACTTTCAATTTTCCTTCTGTTTATATTTAATTGCAACTTTGTTTATCGCCTCTTAAACCTCTCTCCTGCACAGCAAAGAAATGCAATGCCCTTTGCAGATGTGCACAGGTACCATGATGCAAACTTAATTGCACCTCCACACGTCTAGTAAACACAGATGCATTCACAGCCACCAAAACGCATGGCACCACACTACTGTGTGGTTAGGTCCAACACACTTTTTAAAATAATATGTCTGCAGTATTTTTCAATGTTCCCACACGTTAGGCAGCCCATTGAAATTAATGGGCTGAGGAAAAAAAGGTAAAAAATGCCACATTCACACAGGTCCTCTGGCCTGTACAGCATGAATGAGTGGGTTGTTCATGTGGTTGGAGCCACCTGTTACACTATGGGGACACAACAGCTGTATGAACACAGGTTTTAATCTGACAGGTGTGCAGGCGTGGGGAAGTGGCCCTGAATGTTCACTGTCTGTGTTCAGGGCTGTACACCTGCACCCACATGCCTGTCAAATTAGGAACTGCGGTGTTTACATAGTGTAACATATGTTGCCTGCAAACGGCGACAGCCACAAAAACAAACCACTGATTCACACTCTACAGGCCACAGCACCCATGTGAATGAGCCCCAAGACTTCAATTACACACACAGTTTTATTTATGAACTCATTTATATTTAAGAGGAATTTGGTTGGGATTGTGTCCATTAATAATATTTTTGGTGTATTTTTACCATAAATATAATTTTGATATTTTTTTCTGGTGGTGTGGGGCCTGTCAGGTAGGCTGTACGGGGCCCCGTGATATCTAACAGTGGCCCTGGGTGTATGCTTGTGTCTGTGCCACCTGTATAGTTAGGAAGAACAATAACTTCTTCTATGGAATACCTTGAACCTCTGCTATGTATCTCAATGTATCTAGGAATCAGACACGTTTTCTACTGAAAATACAACAATTATTAGTAATGTTTCCCTTGAAGCAAGCATGAACTAACCCCTTAGTATTATAAAGCATCCCGAATTCTCATTTTCCAGAATGTACCCAATTGGGCATAGGTCAGATCTGTGTGCCCAGATAGGACCTCCCAGTGGCTATTCTATGGACAAGGTACACTTTTCTTTATGCCTGATCTATGTTGAGCTGCATTAATCAATATGTTGCAATGGACGGAAATATTTGGACCCAAACCATGAGCTCAGGTATCCAAACGTGAATGTTCCTTCATAGCAAACCTCCATTATGTACTGTATGGGCCTGGCCCACTCTACATGAATGCATTGTTCTGGTAGGTACTCTTATTACAGACTTTAGCTACATGTTGAGGAAATTGCACAGACTTTTCATTAGATTGCATATTATCTGGCCATCTTAAGTCTCAGAAATAAAATCAAGAGGACATGACACTGCTTTAAGGAACAAAAAATAGTCTTTATTCGACAAAACCACAAAAAAGGCAAATACATGGCCTGATGGAAAGATATGGCTGCCAGCTCCCAATTTGTGTGCAAACCAAAAACTGGCTCCGCTGTTTGCCAGCACACGGCTCCAACATATCTGGAAAATATGGGGACTCCGATATCCGGTGCAAGTTGATTCAGGAACGAAAAGCAATTGTGCACCTCCAAAAGCAGCATAGAGGAAAGGGATGGTCAAGTTGCTGTGCTGCTTCCAAACCACCTCTGGCATGCCAGGGTGTTTATGCAGGTCCTTGATGTCAGTTCTTGCCTGGTGCCACAAAATATCCTCTGGCCACAAATGAAGGCAAGTGGAGGACATGAAGATGGCTTTCTCCAAGATTGACCCGCCAGCAGGACCACTCCTGTAAACTGAGAGTAAAGAATCCTTGACATTTCATCATGACAATCACTTCTCAGTTCAGGCTAGCTAGAGTATCTTTTTCATTTGTTACCATTTCAGGAGGCAAGTGGAGGACATGAAGGTGGCTTTCTCTCATTTTGAACCGCAAGCAGGACCACTCCTGTAAAATGAGAGCAAAGAATCATTGACATTTCATCATGACAATCACTTCTCAGTGCAGGCTAGCTAGAGTATCTTTTTCATTTTTTACCATTTCAGGAGTTGAAGTAAACATTCTTGGAGCAATTACCGTATTTGGAAAGTCACAAGGTCCCCCCTCCCCCAGGCACACTAATGCTTACCTGAAGCAGAGCCCCATCCTGATTCCCTGATTTGCTTGAAAAGCTTGACTTTCTGGGCTCTTGCCTTGCAGCGCGCCAAGTGACATGCTGCTAGCCCCCCAAAAGCTGCACATTAGCTGTTAAACCCAAAAAAGCATCAAACTATCACATCACCCCCACATTCTATGAACATTGTTGCAATGGCCACACTTACTTTGCAAATGAGGATCAGCTCCTCTGTAGAGAACAGTGATCTCGCCATTTTCAGATGTGCTCCCAGAAATTAGCCACTTTCACAACTCTCCAAATCTCCAACCTGCTCTTCTAACCACCGACACTCCCCACTACCACTTCTGGGTGCGCGCAAATGTCCTTCCACAAACGTGATGACGTATTTCCGGTTTGATAGCCACTCTAGCGCCTCCTCCGACAATCGCCTTGGCGTTTATTTGTGCGCCATAGGGATTTTCCATGCAGCTCGATTGAGCATATGGCATTGGCGAATATATGTTTGCCGGTAAAGGCCCAAAGTCAACATAAATTGGGGGCCTAATTGATTACTGTTAAGAGGATTGTTGAAAAATAATAGCTAACTGCACATTGAACATTACCTATTTATTGGTACATAACATTGTCTTGTGGTGCCATAGGGGGCTTTTGGTTTGTTAGTTTTGGACATACTTGCACATGTGCGCTCTAACAAGCTAGATTTGGGCATATTATATAGCTAGCAAACAATAAATGTTATGGGTGCTAGTATATTGAACTAGAACAAGAAATAACCCCCCCCAAAAAAATACATAGTCCAAACGTTTATTGATCAAACACATATTCCACATTCATTTGGACTGCAGCAACAAGTAGGTACATTCAATTTCTTGATGTAAAAAAAAAAAAAAAAGCAGGATGGATGTTGCTAAAATAGAACTGTCTTGCTCATAAGAGCTTACAATCTAAAAGATTTTACCTTCTAATGAACAGTGCTTTTACAGGGTACAGCAGCAAACAAATGGTTAATATGAATCAAGCAAAATTTTCAGGGCCATAAAATTAACACACACCATCAATTATTTACACAATTATTTATTCACAAAACAGGCTCCAGATCAAAATATCAAGATTAAAAAAAAAAAAAGTCTTTCCCCCATTAAAAAAAAACACCTCCACCTCCCCAAACAGGTTTGTCCTAAAACTGCATTTCAGTCTAAATAAGCAAATTATAGCCAAGTGCGGATTTGGAAGAGCTCCTCCTCCATCTGACACCATGATGTCTATGCAAATCGCCACAAAAGTAGTATATGTACTACTTTAGAAATCAGTGCGTCTCCAAACAAGACAGAAACGCACCCATATGACGGCTCTAATAGCCGAAACTAGGGTGCGTCTTGGTATACGATTTGCAAGTCGCATGTCATGCAAATCACATGCTAAGTCGCACTCGATGGACTGCTATTAGAGCGGTTATATCGATGTGGTTCAAACTTGGTCGGAGCCGCACCGATTTCTAAAGTAGTGAATACACTACTTTTTGTGCGATTTGCAGAGAGATCTGTGTCAGATGCAGGGGCGGACTGACAACTCATGGGGTCCCCAGGCAATAGGGGATCATGGGGCCCCGCTGTCCTTGCCCACACTCAAAAAAGCCTATAAAAAAGGTACCAGGGGCATTTCATGGGGCCCCCTACTGACCCCGAGTGCTCAAATGGTCAGTCCGCCACTGGTCAGATGTCTTGCAAATCGAACTTGAAATCAGCATGCCCCCGAATTTGAAATCATGCGACTTCACTGTAAGTCACACGCTTTAAAAGTTAGGCTTGATGTGACTGTGGTGTAAGTCGCACGACTTCAAAATCGGCTTGGATGTGACCGTGGTGGCCTCCGGTCACATTGGATGTGATTTGGCATGCAATTTGCATGCCAGGTAGCTTGCAAATCTTAGGCCAAGTCGCAACCTATTGTCTGCTATAGGCTCCGTTCACATCAAATCCAATGTTGAAATTGTGCAACTTCACAGTAAGTCGCACCACTTCCAAATCGGCTTGGATGTGACCATGGTGGCCCATCGATGGTTCACATTGGTTGCGATTTGTCATGCGATTTGCATGCCAGGCAACTTTGCAAATCGCAGGCTAAGTTGCAACCTTTTGTGCACTATAGGCTCTGTTCACATCAAATCCAATGTTGAAATCCTGCGACTTCATTGTAAGTTGTACACTTTCCAAATCAGATTAGATGTGACTGTGGTGTTAGCCCCCGGTCACATTGGGTGCAATTTGGCAAGCGGTTTGCAAGTCACGGGGCATGCAAATCGCACGCCAAGTCGCATCCAGTGTGAACCAGCCCTTAGGGCTGGTTCACCCTGCCACGATTTCAAGTGCGATTTGGGAATTCAAATCGTACCTGATATCGGATCTAATGAATGTGAATCTGAGTGTCTTAACATGCGCGATTTGCTGCAGCACAAGTAGTTCTTGTATTACTTTTTCTGCAGTTTGTTGCTCTTTCACATATAGACTACAATAGAAATCACAATGCAAAACACAATTGAAAACGCAATAACCAAACCAATGCCAACCAAAAGCGCAATTTTAAATCGCATCTAGTGTGAACCAAGCAGGCAATTCAACAAAGGAAATAAATCTTTAAAGGCATGCAGTATCTGTATGGTCGGATAAGGGTCTGTTATGGATTTTGGGGTACCCCATACTCATTCACATGGGGGGGCGGGATCTGAGGGCCCCCTTGTTAAAGGGGGCTTCCAGATTCTGATAAGCCCCCTGCCCGCAGACCCCCACAACCACAGCCCAGGGTTGTGGTGAAGAGGCCCTTGTCCCCATCAACATGGGGACAAGGTGTTTTGGGGGGGAGCCCCCCCTGCCCAAAAGGACCCCCCCATGTTGAGGGCATGGTTCGGGGGGGGGGGGGGGTGCTTACGCCATTTTTTTTTTTTTTTAATTTTGGCATAGGGCTTCCCCTCTAAATCCATACCAGACCCGAAAGGCTTGGTATGGATGGGAAAGGGGACCCCACACAATTTTTATTTTATTTTTTAATTGCTGACCTTTATTTTTAGATTCAGCTGTCAAAATATATATTATCTAGATCTTTGAAATTTGTAAAACCATTACAGAAAAGCATTATAAAGGATAAGAAACAAAAATAGAATCAATAGAACTAAGGAAATCAAATTAGAATACATAAAGATATGCCTGGCTACAAATAGTGCTGTTTGTTAAACACAGTAGATGCGATCGAGTGCCGAATTGCAGAGGACTCCACACTGAGATTTACTATTAAACAGCGTCTAAAAAGAAAGCGCCCACGGTAGACGACTAAATTGCATCCTGCACATGTGCATTTATATCCCTGCATAGACGTTGGAAAAGTCATGAATTCTCTAAAAAAAACTATTTTTTACCCATTGAAACTTTTTTTTGAAAAGTAATATATTCTTTAAAGTGAAGTCCAGATATTTGGGAAAGCAAATTTCAATGTGAACATGTTTCTACAGTGATTTCTCAATCTGTTAGACGTTTTCTAGGGCGTGTTTTTTAGATGGATTCCTGTATTGTGGCTATTAGTAAATTCGCTTTCGCATCTATTTGTTAGACGTTTTCTTTAGTAAATGTCTTTGCCATCTAAAAGTAGACAGATTACAATGAAAAGTGGACTTTAAACCACGGAAATGCGCCTATGCACATTAGTAAATCAGGGTCAATTTTCTGAATACTTATGCCAATGCGATTTTTCAGGTTTTCTTTTATCACACATTTGCAAACCTTTCTAAAATTTTCACTTTGTCATTATGGGATACTGAGTGTAGATGAATGAGAAAGAAATTAATTTAACCATTTGCCTACCGGGCACTTCTACCCCCTTCCTGCTCAGGTCAATTTTCAGCTTTCAGCACTTTCGCACTTTGATTGACAATTGCGCTGTCATGCAACACTGTACCCATATGACATTTTTATCATTGT